TCGTGGAGCTGCCGAGGCTGTGCGGGTCGCCGTATTGTTTCGACTTGAGGACGGATTTCGTGTTCGCCGACGACGGCGCGGCGGTGGAGGGGTGGTGGGATACGCCAGCGGCGGCGTCGTGGGCCGGCGGCGACGATGGGATTTCGAGCTATTTCGAAACTTTGTTGTGGAATTATTGATTTCCTATTTTGGTTTATTTATCCTTTAGTATTTTTTTTATTATAATTGTTTTTTATTTTATTTTTTATATTTTTTTTGGGTATTTGAAGGAAATTCTTTGATCCCTTCTCAATTTTTTTTTCTTAGAAGGGTATAAAGAATTTTCTTTTAATCTTTTGTTTTTTTTTTTTTTTTTTTNNNTTTTTTTTTCTCAATTTGTCCAACCCATGTGCCATCCTTTGTAATGAATATAATTGTAACATATTACTACTTAATGTTTACCCATTTGTTGTTAGGTCATTTTTTACAAATTTAGAAAGTTGAATTATCATTTTTTTGACATTTAGAGCACCCACAATGCTTCGGGTCTCTTAGAGAAAAATTACATGCCGTGTAGGAAATAGACCTAGTCTATAAAAAAGTGTTTCCCAGTGCAATTAAAAATAGATCTAGTCTAGCTTATGTGGCAATAAAAAAAGAGACCTAGTCCACACTTGGGTCTATTTTAGACTCAAGTACAAACCCAAGCACTCATCATTTATTCCTCATTTAGTTTTTCTTTTAATAAATGAAATATATTAGAGCATTTTTATTGGTTGTCATGTATGGTAGACCTAATATTTTATTTTTGCATTGAATAGCTTTTGAGTTTTTTTACTTGAGTTTGTCCATATCATTTAGGACTTAAGTCTATTTATATGCCACATATATAAAATTAGACCCAAAACATTGTGAGTGCTCTTACTAGGATAAAGTTCACAATTAGGAGTATGCATTTCGAGCTTGTATTTGAATATATTTGATCACTGCATCTATTGTCTAGGCTATGAGGAGAATTAGTAGGATGAGGAGAATGAGGAGAATCTTGGTATCCATGCATCTATTGTAGGATAAAGTTCACAATTAGGGGAATGAGGAGAATCTTGGTATCCATGCATCTATTGTCCAGGCTATTTGAGATTTGCTTAAGCAGGAGTGGTGTGTTCGATTGTCCCATATTTATCGGGAAAGAAATTTCGCGACTGATAAGTTAGCTTTGTTGGCTTCGGGTGTTCTGGTTGGGCTCCACCGTCTTTTAGCAACTCCACTCGTTATGGGCCATTGGCTTAACTATGATAACTTAGGGCTGGCTCAGCCACGTCGTGTGATGTCCTAGTGCTCGTCTAGGTTTCGGCCTCTTTCTTTGTACCAATATATATATATATATATATATATATATATATATATAATCACTATTAGTATTTGAGCTCGTTCATCTAATTGTTTATAAAATTGAAGTTTTTCATGTTTAAATAATTTAGTAATTAAACAAACCTTTTAGAATTGTTTGATTCACTTGAGATTTAGTCATTCGAACTCGTTCAAGATTGAATATATGATAAATAATGTAATCAGTGTTCTAAAAGTCGTTAGGCGCCCGTTAGGCGTTCGACCAGCCTAAGTCTGAAAAATAAAATTAATATATTTTAAAGAAGATATGAGAATAAAATAATGTACTTAGGAGCGCCTAGGCGATGCCTAACTCCCTGGCCGCCGAGCCCGCCAAGTCCGCTTAGGAGCGCCTAGGGCCGTCTAGGAGCGTCTATGGCCGCCTAGCCGCCTGACCGATTTTTCTGCCGATTTGTGCAAATCGGAGGCGCTCGGGCACCGCCGAGCGCCTCGGTGACCGCCCAGGCCAAATTTTAGAACTGTGAATGTAACTAAATTAGAATAATGTCGGTCAATATTATCGGACATTTGCGAACGAACTCTTGTTCATTAATTCTACTAATAAATGAGGTTCATTTTATTTTCAAACTTGCCTCGATTAACTAACAAACGAATTCTTATTGAGCAAAGAAAAATTGAACGAATTTTTGTTCGCAAAACGTTCGGTTCGAAAAAAAAATTAACAGCTCTTAGTAGTATAGTGTCCACATCGATAGTATGAAACCCAGGCGATTCTATCATTATCGATTTGCCTCCCTTTGTTCGGACATTCACTAATCATACTAATAATTAGTCTAATTAGCCATCTAATATATCTCCCTGGCCACATTAATTAATATATTATATTTGCTCAATAAAGTATATTAGTGAGTGGATTAACGACCTCATGTGATAATGACATAAATGAAAAGGACAATTATACTTTTTGTACACAATTTAATTAGCGGTTTTTGCTATGAAGTCAACAGTTGACTCCATAGTGGAGTTAACCTTCTATATACAACAAATAAATTTATCATATCAATAGAATTATATTAATGTTATTTAAGTAATCATAGAATATGATAGGTTTATTTGTCGTATATTAGAAGGTTGACTCCACTATGAAGCCAACTGTTGGCTCCATAGCAAAACCGATTTAATTAGACTCCACTGCATGCAAACTGCATTTAACTTAATTAATCACAAGTGTTTCTTAAACTAATTACAATGCTCGATTTGTCTAATCATTGCTATTTCATGCATAGTGTATCTTAATGTTCTATCAAGTTTCAATATTGCCATTAGTACCCGAAGCCGTCATTTTCTTCAAATAGTATTTACAAATTTGTGAAATATATATATATATATGTAGTGTGTGTAATGACATAATTTGTGAAAAAATTTAATATATATATATGTGTGTGTGTGTGTGTGTGTGTGTAGTGTGTGTAATGACATAATATAGATAGTGATTGCTTGAGTAATTTGCCTCTAATCATGTACTAAAATAATGAAAGAATATTGTACGAAGAAATGATTTCATAATTATTTATAAATGCATAATTATATTTATAAATGTTCAAGAAGGTCCTATTTCCGTCATATTTTAACTTCTTTTTCTTGTTTTTTTATTTTTCTTTTACGTCTTTGCGTATTCAATAATTGGTGCAATTATTAAATAAATTAAAATTTTGTACCATCCAACCAAAAGACATGATCTGATATATAGTCCAAATGATTATTAGTCGATATATGTTTTTTTTTGTTTGTTTGAATCGATATAAATCACATATATTCACAAAATAAACTAGATAAGAAACACAATCACTCAACCAAATAAATAGCCAAACGGCCAAATAAGACAGCTAAATCGTTGAATTTAGTTGAGAGGACTACACAGACAGACGTCAGGCGGTAGCCAATAACCAACCTAAAAAACAAACACAAAACACTAAAAAACTTCCAAAAGGAGAATACACAAAAGCTTCCACAAGTAGAGAATACACCAAATGCACTCCCAATGGGAGAGAAAAAAACACAATCCTAAACACAAGAACACAAAGACAAAAACAACAACTACTACTACTACTACAACTACAACTACCCCTCTCGCACCAAGAAGACTAACCAAATGAAACGATAGCGACACCAACCAACATCCATCCACGCGAACAAGGTTACGGCCCAAGAACCCAACCCAGAAACTCAAGAGAACACCTAACTACGTCCGACACCAATTAATAATAATCATAGCAAAAAAGTGCAAACATAAAAAAATACCACAGAGAGCGCAAAATGTCGCAAAAAATGTACATGAACTTGCGTAGTTTGACAGAATATTTGTGATATAATTAATTAGCATTTGTGAAATTGTTGGTAAAATTGCATCTTGCTCTAAATTAGAGTATAATTTATATTTTGTTTATATAAAAATGAACAAATTGGCAGGTTTGTTTGGCCCTATATATGGTCTTTTTTGAGATGCCGATTTTAAAGGCTTTTCCGAAGGAAATTTTCACACCTTTTTCAGATTATGACTTATTATTCCTAGTCAATTTTTTCTAATGTCTATATTTTCAAAATTCAACTTTTTCGGCCACCATACAAATAATAGACGAGCAAAATAAAGGTATATATTATTACATCTTTGTTTCATTTTTTTTTTTTTTTTCAATGTATTGGGGACACTTATTATATATACCTGCAATATTTTGTCTTTTTAATTTTTCCTTCTTTCGAAAGAGAAACAACGTCGGCAAGAACATAGAACGATATCAACAATTATCTCTACCAAGTTTGAATTTTAGTTTTTTCTCAATATTTTCCACATATTAAATATATGCCACAAACAACAAAAAATAAATTAATTTTATGTAGGAACATTTCATCCTCACTATTTATGGTTGACCTTGTTTGGGGCGTAGTTGATATAGTTAACATAGAATAACTAATTTTGTTAAACAATTTTACGAGTTAATTGGATTAGTGGATTATGGAAAGTGTCGGATAAATAATTAGTTGTTACATATATTTTTGGAAAATACTAAAATCACGTTACGAACTATTCCGTCGTGATTTGTAACTGTTAGATCATCAGGTAACCGTTGTGGATAGCTGATTTAACGGTTACAAACCTCGATGAAATGGTTTCGTAACGGACCTATAGAATCTCCCTAAAAAATGGTTAAAATTACCACCTTCTATACCAAAAAACAAACTTCTATATTGAATTATTTTAAAGTTAGCGATTTGATTAAAAAAAAAAGTTGCAACTTACCAAATAATAAATTCAAAAATTGCGAGGGGTCAAATTTTTAATTAATTTACCATAAACCCTAATCAATAGTTACCAAAGTGTGACACTTACTCAGTCCATTGTTTTACCAAAAACCAGAAATCTCATGTAATTGTCAAAAAACCAATAAATTCCCAAATGTAAAAATAAATTAAAAATTAATGATGATTGTGTCCCCTCAATTATATATCATCCTCTTTACATTTTCTTTAATGTGTACTATTGGTTATATATATTATCATTTTATTGACGATGTCACTTTTTGTTGATTGTTAAGTAAATAAGTCCAACATTAATTAATTAGTGGTGCTAATTTCTTAAGTCTCTTTTAAAATATCGTCCAAATGAGGAAATTAACCATGATTAGGAAGGTTCTTCGGACAAAACCCTAATCTACTTTCTTTAGTAGTCCAATTGTCCAAATCAATAATTATTCTAGAAAAGTGTATGAGTAATATATTATAAGGAGATATTACGGTTCCGTTATGGAATCATTCCATCAGAGTTTGTAACCGTTAAATCAATATTATATAG